GTTTCTTCTCTTAATGCTTTGCTCTCTAGGATCATAAGTGAATTTTTCCACCCCTTATGGTATTTCTTCTGTCTTTCTAGGACTGTTGACAATGAGTTGTCATTTTGTATGGCTCACACTCTCCAGTTCACATCCACGTAAGCTACAAAAGGCCATATTTCATTTTTTTCATTGCCACTTGGGCACTCCATTGTATATAAACCATACACTTTATCCATTCATCAGTTGATGGACATTTAGGCTCTTTCCATAATTTGGCTATTGTTGATGCTGCCATGAACATTGGGGTACAAGTGCCATACATCGCAATCGTACTGCTGTGTCCCTTGGAAAATTCCTAGCAGTGCATTGCTGGGTCATAGGTAGGTCATAATTTTTAATTTTTATTCTGAGTGAAACCTCCACACTGCTTTCCAGAGCTGCGCACCACATTGCATTTCCACCAACAGTGCAAGAGGGGTTCCCGTTTCTCCACATCTCTCCGCATCTATATCTCCTGATTTGTTCATTTTGGCCACTCTGACTGCGTGGGTGATACCTGAGTGTGGTTTTGATTTGATTCTGATAGTAGTCGCATGATATCGCTAACATTTTTTATGTGCCTGTTGGCCATCCGAGTGTCTTCTTTAGAGAAGTGTCTATTCATGTTTTCTGCCCATTTCTTCACTGGGTTATTTCTTTTTTGGGTGTGGAGTTGGTGACTTTATAGATTTTGGATACTATGCCCTGTCCGATATCGTCATTTGCAAAATATCTTTTCCCATTCCGTTGGTTGCCTTTAGTTTTGTTGGTTGTTTTCCTTTGCTGTGCAGCAGAGCTTTTATCTTCATAAGGTCCCAGTAATTCACTTTTGCTTTTTAATTACTTTTACCTTTGGGGATGAGTCGAGTAAAGATTGCTACAGCTGGAGGTCAGAGAGGTTTCCGCTTTCTCCTCTAAGTCTGGTTTTGATGGTTTCCTGTCCACATTTGGGTCCTTTTATCCATTTTGAGTTTATTTTGTGAATGGTGTGAGAAAGTGTTCTGTTTCTCAACCTTTCTGCATCATTAGCTGTCCAGTTCTCCCAGCACCAACTATTTGTTAAAGAGACTGTCTCTTTTTCATTGGATGTTCTTTTTTCCTGCTTTGTCAAAGATGAGTTGGCCATGTTGCTCGGGTCTAATTCTGGGGTTTCTATTCTATTCCATTGGTCTATGTGTCTGTTTTTGTGCCAAGTATAAGGTTTTTAAAGAGGTAAGAGCCATTCCTATCAATAGAGCTTGAAGGAAATTCTATTATTTTCTCAATGTGACCAGGCACACTCTATATAAACTTATTAAAAATGTTCTATATTTAAATGAATACACATCTATTTATTCAGTAAACATTTATTGATTATCCATTATTTCCAAGTACAGTGTAAGGTCCAGCTGGGAGTATAAAGAAGAACAAGAGGGACGTTCTCCTAAGTCATGAAGTTTTTTGGGATAAACAACTATGAACAACAGATCACTAGAAAGCAGAGAGTAATGCCATGGACACAATGATCAGTTCCTGAGAAAGGAGGACATACAGAAATGTTTCTACAAGCTCTATTGTTTTCATCTTTGTACATGGAAAAACAAAGAGAGACTTTGCAAGGGACTGTTAAATACATGAGCAAACATAATCATACTGTTACTCATAATAACGTACTAACAATTGATCCGTGGAAAAAAGAAAATGAAACTTCTAATCTCAACAATGATTAGATGAGATGGGGGGATTTGTGTGGAGAAAAGGTGCAAAGGAGCCTAAGAATGAATAGTATAAAGCAACAAGATCATGGTTGTGCATGATGTGTGGGCCAACCCCGACTTAGCAGTTAAGATACAGTTTATCTGAATGGCCCTCCCTTCAGTCTCAGGGGGAAGAGCGTTGTACAGTCAAATACTATTTCCAAGGGGCCCCTGGGTGGCTCAGTCGGTTGAACATCCGACTTCGGCTCAGGTCATGATCTCGCGGTTCGTGAGTTTGGGCCCCGCATCCGGCTCTGGGCTGACAGCTCAGAGCCTGGAGCCTGCTTCAGATTCTGTGTACCCACTCCCACCCCCCGCCCCACCCCTGCTTTTGCTCTGTCTCTCTCTGTCTTTGAAAAATGAATAAACATAAAAAAAAAATACTATTTCCAGAATGAAGGAGTATAGATGAGTGGAAAACATGGATTAAAATGTTACACCATAGGGGTGCCTGGCTCAGTCGGTAAAGCGTCCGACTTCAGCTCAGGTCATGATGTCGCGGTTTGTGAGTTCAAGCCCCGCGTCGGGCTCTGTGTTGACAGCTCAGCCTGAAGCCTGCTTCAGATTCTGTGTGTCCCCATCTCTCTGCCCATCCCATGCTCATGCTCCATCTGTCTCTGTCTCTCAATAATAAATAAATGTTAAAAAAAATTGTGTTACACCATAGCAAATCAATTACTCCTTCCGATGTCCCCGTCTCCCCAAAGAACTTTGCACTTTTCTTTATGATGCTCATACTGCCCTTGGTAGAAGGAAAGTCCCATGTTCCAAATGGCTCCCAATGACCTGAATACAGAGGTGGGGCCACAGTCTCCTCTGTAAGGAAGAATAGTTGGTGTTTGCTGCACTTACTCTCTGTCTGCCTGGCTATGAATAAGATTCTGTTGTTGAACAAATATGCTACCTTGGCCTTCTACTCACTTCTTTAAGCCTCAGGCTCCTCACTTAGGAAATAGAAGTAATAATATTTGCCCTCTTACAGGGTTGTTGAGAAGACTGAGAGTGCAGGTAAGGGATCCCATGCACACAGTGAGGGCTCCGTGACATGGATAAATCATTATTAGGTTGAAATTGGCTTTATTGTTATATCTTTCCAGTTCCAGAGCCCACGTGTTGCACACCAGACAGAAGCACTTAATAAATGTTCACTGATGCAAAGGCCAATAGCAAAGGCAGCACACAACCAGAATAAGTTCACAGAAGAGAACAATGAGGGAAGTAGCTGGTGTCTTCCAAGCGAAAGTTTCAAACACTTATAAAAGTACCATAGTATGTTGGTCTAGGAAGAAAGTGATAAAAATGGAATGGTTTGTCGAATCTATTTGAGAGGCTACCCCCCAAAGAGAGAGAGAGAGAGAGAGAGAGAAAAGACAAGTGTAAATGTATTAAACTAGATGTTGAAAGTGCTTGCTTGAATCCAGAAGCTTTATGATATTCACCAGAGTTCTTAAACACTTTTGTTTTAGCTTCTTTATCTTTAAAATGAGTCCGGAGGAGAATTCTCTAGCTGCGGAACAGAATGAGAAAACGTCGTTACACTAAAACCACTGGAATCGTAAGACATTGATGATATTCAGTGTTGGAACTGAAGAGTTGTGGGTAAAATGATACTAAACATTCTAGGGTGCGTTTAATCATATACAAAATCCAATAAAGACGAGAGAGAGATAAGACCGTTTCTCATAAGCGCAGTAGAATTGGAAATGATACACTATTTCAGGAAAGGTTTACCACTTCACAGCATTTGTGTAAGAACAGAAATGTTGTGTAGTAGATACTGTTGATGTAAATTATTCTAGAAATTTGAAAAATACAGCAAGAATATTCTGATATATATTCACTCCTGCTCCCAAGAGCTGATACTCAGTCTGTGAGTTTGAGCCCCACGTCTTACTCTGTGCGGACAGCTCAGAGCCTGGAGCCCGCTTCAGATTCAGTGTCTCCCTCTCTGTCTGCTCCTCCCCCACTCATGCTCTGTCTCTCTCTGTCTCTCAAAAACAAATAAATAAACGTTAAAAAATATTAAAAAAAAATCTCCGTGTCTGATGGCAATAAAAGTAGAGCTGGAACCACATCAAGTGACGTATCACATTGTTCCTGGGGCATAAAGCACCCTTCAGTCTTAGTACCAAGAAAAGTCTCTGAAATAACTGGCTTAGTTTATCCACGGTGAATTGCATGACTAGTGCAGCTTTGTTTTTTCACCCGTGAACCAAGTTTGTGGGTCATATGAAACGTATTTTGCAGATTCTTTCTTGGCTTCTTTTTATGCCCTATATTTCAGTTTTCTTTCTCCTTTTGAACATACTTTTAATTTACATTTTCACCTATATCCTTGAAGGCTTCTGTAAGTAGTTTTTGGAACAAAGTTCAATTACATGAATAAAACATAAATTAATTTGAATATTAATCTTAACATGATGAATGACAATCTTAAAACCCTTTCTTTAACCATATGTTAACTGGCAAAATTTCTGACCCCTACTGTAATTCTATGCGGAGACTTACCAGGAGGAAGCTTACTGAATAAATGTTTTTTTATGATGCCATTTATCTTTCCCATTGTAAATGCCTGCATTGATATTACAGTTGAGAGATATGTCTCTTGACTGATTTTTTTCTGACTCTGAAATCACACGTTTGGACCCATCAATCTGAACACCAGGCAGTGCAGACCCATTCCTTTACCCTGTCAGAGCAAAGAGCCACTGCCTCCTTAAGTGTCTCTTAGTTGTATTTACAGTTTATTAAAAAAATATTACAAGGAAACAAAGAGAAGATATAGCTTGAGCAGAACTAATATAAAGTAATCAAAGGCAGGGTTAGAATAACAAAAATATACTAGGTCCTTTATATTCTTGTCTTAATCTTTCTGAAAAATCCTACCAGGGAGTGATTAGTAAGCAGAGAAGTACAGTTAAGCTCAGAGGAAATGAAGCAGCCCAAGGTCATGGTGCTAAATGGCAAAGTTGGCATTGCAGTCCAGGCATTTCTGGCTCCAAGGCCATGCCATTTCCTTCCACAAATGGGTTTTGATGTTGCATTTATATGAACTTGAACTGTGAGCCTGAATTTAAGTGTTTGGGTCAAAACTGAAGCATACTGCGATTATGTCACATGAGAAGATCTTGCACAGTTATGATTCATTTTTCTTCTTCCCAATGCCATGTTCATTGTGAATCTATTCTCAATCTATCACTTACACTTACTCAGAAAATATATTTATTGTTGAGGAATTCTCTCTCAAGATCTTCTCTGCCAAGTGACCATCAGTTTGATGGCTTTTTGAAACCAAGGATAAAAGAAAGCATAAATTAAGGGGTCAATTGCTGAGTTATAGTAAGCAATCCAAACCAATATTTCATAAATATATGTGGGTGTGATGAAACCCAAGAAGGCATTGATTATTGGATCAATGAAGCATGGCACCCATGAAATCAGGAAAGCTATCACTGGTAGCCTATCAGTGATAGTGAAAGCTATCAAAGGAAGGCGATTCCCAGGGTAGACCAGAGGGTCAGTGACAGCCATGTATCTATCGAGAGAAATAAAACCCAAATGGTAGATAGAAGCGTAGCAGAAAGACTCTTCGAAACAAGAGTGAAATTTACAGTAACTCTCCCCAAAGTACCAGCAGCTCTCCACGGACCTCACTGTGCTTAAGGGCATGACAGTCACCCCCACCAAGAAGTCAGTGTACGCAGCCCAGGGGCACGATCAGAAAGTTTGTAGGTGTGTGCAGCTGCTTGAAATGAAGAATCGAAATCATCACCAAGAGGTTTCCAAATATGGTCAGCGTGACCCCAAAGTCAAACACTGCATAGAGAATCATGCGGGGGCCTGGTGAGTAGGCAGTTTTGACACAGGATCTATGCAGGTTCTCAAAGCACTTTTGCCCAGCTGCAGGGGGGAGCAAATCACTGCTCATGATTCTTCGTTTCGATACCTGGGAAACTGTCTTCTACGGCTAAGAGTGGCATTCCAGTTTTCAAAAATCCTTAGGGAAAAAAAAAAAAAAGATATATACAACATACCAGTAATTGCCAGTACATTCTTTCCCTATTTTTTTGTGAGTAAAATTCCCTATTTTCATGTTTAAAAAGTGATTGATTCATATCCTCACCTTATAAAATATTTCACTTTGCAATGAATAAGCAGTTAGTTTTCATCTTTACATAAGATGCTGTTTATTTTAATTAAAAAATATTTTCCCCGTATCGCCTACTAGTTCATATCTGAGAAGCATTGGTCATCAAAAGAGCTGTTATGTGATGCATGCATAATGCCACTTTTTATTAGCATTTTCCCCCTAATTTATCAGAGCTTTATCAATGCCCAAATCACTCTGTCCCCTCAGGAAAGTAGCCAAGTAATTCCAAATACCCAGAGCCCTGAAGATTGAATCCCCATAGTGCAAGGTGTGGAAAGAAAAGAAAAATCTAAATAATGATTATCTTTAGGGTAAAAATAAGTTTATATTCTTCTCATTTCCAGATGACATCTGACTTTTTCATGAAATAGAAATAGAAATAGTGCCTCTCCTTAAAAACCTTTGTATAGAACTTGAAAGCCATATTGTTCATTCCTCCCAATTACTGGAGACTGCATTATCATTTTTGTAAGAACCATTTATTTATGATTCCTGTTTGTCACTAAAACCTTCAAATAAACTCTTTCTCCTTTTCATTGTTGGTTTGTGTTAAAGAAATTAAATGCATAATCATTTATTAAAATCTGGAATGTCTAAGGTTGAGTTTTAATAATTCTGATTTGGAAAAATGGGGATATGGAAATATAGCGTTTTCTTCATGGAAATACATAAAGGAAGTATATGTCCACCTAAAAAGCAGGTTTCTGCTAAGGCTTTTTGTTTTTGTTTATTTGGTAGTTTGTTTCTAAATGGGAACTGTTGGGAAGATATTAAAGAAGAAAAATCTTTGGAATGTGGATATTCCTACATTATACTTTAGATTTTACCATTGACAAAGTTCTTTTTCCTCTTAGCTTTCTAGAACAGAGCTCAGCTTTAGGCTTTGAAAAAGATTTTTGTTTTTAAATAAATGAGTTCTGGTCATTTTTAAAAACCAGCTTTTTCATTATGAGGGATAATTTGTGTGTGGAAAATTTACACTTTTACAGTGTTCAGGCTGATGACTTACAATAAATAGATCCATCTTTGCCATCAAAATATAGAACATTTTCAATGCCGCAGGAGCTTCCTGAGGCTTTTGTAGTAGATCTCACCCATTTCTCTTCTCCTGCCCTAGGCAACCAGTGATCTTCATTCTACTACTACAGATTAGTTTGTGAGGTCTAAAAATCACTCGGGGAATGAATCACACAATATGTACTCTTCTGTGACCTTCTTTCTCTCAGCTTAATGTCTGGGAGATTCATCCGTTTGTTGGTGATATTTAGTGGTTCGTTGTTATTGCTAAATAGCAATCAATTATATGAATAAATCACAATTACTTTATCCATGTACCTGTTGATAGACATTTATTGTGTTTACTTTGGGGTTATTAGTAACAGACCCGCTATCAATATTCATGTGCAATTCTTTGCGCAGACATATGTTTTCATGTGTTTCTGGGAAATACCTAGGAGTAGAATTGCTAGATCATATCGGAACCTTATGTTTAACTGTACAAGAAACTACAAACTGTTTTGGAAAGTAATTGCACCATTTTACGTGCCCCAAAACAATCTGTGAGCATTCCACCTGCTCCAAGTTGTCTTCAATATCAGTATTCCCATTTCTTTTTGTTTTAAACAGTCCAGGCGATGTTAGCAATATCTCGCGATGCTTTTAGTGAAATGAATGGTGATATTAAGAATCTGTTCATGTTATTATTGGCCATTGATGTATCCACTTTGGTGAACTATTCATTAACATTTTTGCCCATTTGTAATTGGGTTTTAAGAGTTCTTATTACTACTGAGTGGACTGGGTACAAGTCCTTTCTAAATATATGTTACGAATGTTGGACTTTTCGATTTCTTGCTAGTGTTTTTCTGATGAGTAAAGGTTTTAATTTTAATGAAGTTCAACTTTTTTTTTGGTTAGCGACTTTGTTTCTTACCTGAGAAGCCTTTGCCTAACTCATTGTCACAACTATTTTCTTCTATGTTCCTTCTGAAATTCTTGTAATTCTACTCCTAATGTTTACTTTTGTAATTCATGTCATATTAATTTTAACTATGTTGTGAGGAATTTTATTATTATTATTGTTTGAGGTTTAGTAGCATTAGCAGTAGTAGTAAGATATGGGTATTTAGCACTTTCAGCAGCATTTCTTGAAATGACTATTCTTTTTCCAGTGAATGATGTTTGTTCTTTTGTCAAAAACCAGTCAACCATGTACCTGTGAACCTGTTTCTGGACTCTATTCTAGTCTGTTGATCTTGTTTCTGTGTTTAGGTTCATACCTGATTGTCTTAACTGAAACATGATAGTAAGTATTAAAGTCAAGTTATGTAAGCTTTCCCCTCTGCTGTTCTTTCTAAAATTGTTTTGGCTATTCTGTTGTCTTTATGTTTCACACAACTTTTAGAATCACCTTGTAAATTTTTAGGAAAAAAACAAAACCTGTGGTTTTGTTATTGGTGTAAAATTTCATCTATAAAAGTTACAGAAAGACATACTGAAATATTTGATCAGGACAGTGAATTTGCTCATTTCTCCTTCTAGTTTTGTCATTTATGGTTTACGAGTGTAGATATTCTACCACTAACTGTATACATATTTAAGATTGTTATATTTTCCTGGTAACATTTAAGGATTGGACGTCCTAATAATATTGAATCTACTAAGTCTCCATATTATATTTCTCCATGTATAAGAAGCCCAAAGAAGAAAATAATGGTAACTAAAAGTGTTTTTTTTTTAACAAAAACTAAGGCAAGAAAGGAGCAACAGGGAAACAAAATACAAAAGTAACAAATGAGAAATAAATATCAGATAATAGAATTAACTTAAATATGTAAAATTTATATCAGATGTAAGTGGATTAAACTCTCCAATTAATAGACAAAAATTGTCAGGCTGCATAAAAATAGTAAATCTCCACTGTTGCTGTCTAGAAGAGACACACTGTTTAAAGGAAAAAAGAATTAAAAAATATATGCTATTCACATAATGAGCATAAGAATGCTGTTATGGCTGTATAAATACTGGACAATATAAAAATCCTGACAGATCATACCTTCAGAAATAAAGACCGATTCCATAAAATGATAAAAGAACTATATTCCAGAGGAATTGAATCTTAAGATGAGTTCTCTGAATAGGTTCTGGGTTTCCTGGAATTGGTTCTTTGATGCATTCATGACCCCATTTCCAGAGGTAGAAAGAGAATTTTTAGCCCGTAGCCTACAGTGGCACAACATTTACTCAAATTATTATTGTAGACACCTGTAATCAAGTGCCTACAGAAGACGAGACTCTGGTGACCAAGGATTTGCTGCCATACCACATTTTAGTTAAAATAGAAGTGTAATACATTGGTTAGTTTCTTTTAACTGCTCTGGAGAACCTGGGGAAAGAAAATGATGAGCTTGAGAGTCTTTGAACTCTTTGCTCAAGGCCCATATGAAGGATTGGAACATTCCCTGAATACTTTGAAAGAATCCCCTCTCTGCCATAGCCATAGGACTGAGTTTCTGAGAACCAAGCCCCAGGCCCAATTCTATAGCTGGCTGAATTACCATGCAAGATGAATTCTCAAACTCCCAGAGCATCTTTTGCTAAAATTCTGGCATTGGTTAGGAAATAAAGATTCTAAATATTAGAATGTTGACCTATGGCAGGTCCTGATAAAACTGATTACCCCTGCCCTCTAATTCTCACAAGCCTTTCTCTGCTGGAAGAGGCAGCTGGTCCACTTCTGCCTGAGGAGGTCACTCTCCTTTGTTTCAAAAAGCTATAATGGCCTTCCCTGGGGAAATTGCCTTACGGTGCACCACTGACCCTCCTCAGGACTTCCCCTAACACCTTTTCTTGCCTCCAGAACTGTAATTACACTCAATTCCAGCAGCCCCAAAGAGAGAAGTACAAAGTGTGATCCATGAAAATGTGCAACTCAAAACAATATTAAAAATATTTTGATAACATTAAGATGTAACTCTTAAGATACTTTAACCACTTGTAAGAGGTACTTCCTAAAATATACCAATGCAGCTACAATTTAGTTTCCTTACATAAGACAAAATATGCTAGGGATATATACTCGAAGAAAATCCTCATTTGATTAAAACAAGCAAACAGACAAACCTGACTCAGTACTCAAGTAAAACAGATATTGTGAAATAGTAATGTCAATTTTGATACATTAATTTTTCATCACAAACACCGCAATGATAACGATAAATGACACAGTAACCCCTCCATATATACACACATTGTCCATTATACATAAAGTTCGACTTTAAAAGAGCATATGGAAATATACATATGTAGGGGCCATATTACTTATAGTGTTATGTAATCTGGGGTTTTACAATCAGGGTGTTTGGGTTTTGTTTTATTTTTATTTTATTTTATTTTATTTTATTTTTAATGTTTTTTTTTTTTTTTTTTTTTTTTTTTTTTTTTTTTTTTTTTTTTTTTGAGACAGAGAGAGAGAGAGAGAGCATGAACGGGGGAGGGTCAGAGAGAGGGAGACACAGAATCTGAAACAGGCTCCAGGCTCTGAGCTGTCAGCACAGAGCCCGACGCGGGGCTTGAACTCACGGACAGCGAGATCATGACCTGAGCCGAAGTCGGCCTCTTAACCGACTGAGCCACCCAGGCGCCCCTGTTTTATTTTGATTTTAGTCAAAAAATATATTGTGGTTGTTTTTCCATGTCAATTTATACAGAACTCATTAGCACTTTTTAACAGTTTCATAATGTTCCATTACATAGGTGGAGCATAATTTATTTAATTTATCCCGTATTGACCTTGGCTTTTCCCAGTTAATAATTAAAAGTTATACAATGAATGTTATTGTCATGTTTGCTTTCTCGGCTGGCTCTTTTCTTAAGATTACTTTCTAGAAATGGAGCTATAGAGTCAAGTGACACGTATGTTTTAAATTTTTTTTTAAATTTTTTTAATGTTTCTTTTGAGACAGAGAGAGAGAGAAAGAGAGAGAGAGAGAGGGAGTGCAAGCAGGGGAGGGGCAGAGAGAGAGGGAGACACAGAATCTGAAGCAGGCGCCAGGCTCTGAGGGGTCAGCACAGAGCCCAGCCGTGGGGCTGGAACTCATGAGCCGTGAGATCATGACCTGAGCTGAAGTTGGATGCTCAACCGACTGAGCCACCCAGGCGCCCCTTAAATTTTTAATTCCTCTCAGAAAGGAGATACTAAGTTATAGTCTCCCAAGATGTATGTAATTATAATGTACTTGCATGAAAGTATCCAATTTCCCATACTCTAATATCGGGTATTATAGAAACTTCAAATATTTGCCAATTTGGTATATTATACCATATCACACATTCACAAGCATTTAAAAGTTATTTTTAGATTTGCATTTTAATGTGTTTATTAAACATTCATATATTTTTTCTCTGTGGAATCACCAGTCATATGCCCAGTCAGGTGTTAACCTTGTCTTACTGTTTTGTTAAAGCCTTTACGTGTTTAAATCTATTAACCTTCACCATGTGTGCTGCCCAGACTTTTCCAAGTGTAACTTTTTAATTTTTCCCGAACTAGGCTTCGTTTCCTTTGAATTAAAAAAAAATTAAATTGAGTGCTTGAATCTATACAGATGTTCAGTCATGATTTCTACCACGAAAAATTCTAAAAACACTAGTTTTTTTTTTAACATCTGGAAATACTAGTTTTGATTTTGTTCATGATATGAGGCAAGATGCTTAACATTCTTTTCCAAAAAGCTGTATGCCACACCATCACTTCCTAAATAACCCATTCTTTCTCCATAACTTGCAATGCATTGTTATTTTTGTCATCAACAATGTACTACTTTGGATATTTTTTATAGAAAAAAAAAATGCCAGAAAAATGCCCTCCACAACAGCAGAAAAGTAAAATAGCTCACCGCGTAGGGTGAGAAAACAGTCCCATGAAAGAACAATCACCAGTGTGGAAATTGCATCATCTGTTCAGAATTATTCCATAAAATATGCCCCAAAATATAAAACACGAGTCCATTTCGGAGTCTGAAATAAGCCTCAGAGAACTATAGGAGCTACAGAAAAAGACCAGACCCAAGAAACAAGCTGCTTAAAATGGAAGTCAAGTGCTCAGAGTCCAGGGGTGACAGGGACAGCGAGACTTTCACAGGGAACATGGAACCAGGCAACCTTTGAGGGTGACACAAGGGTAAGCCTAACGAGAAGCCTTGAAAATAATGAACAATTGACAAAGCAGGGAATGCACAGATTTGAAGACACTAGAAAATATGAACTTACATCAGCCATTTTTTAGTAAACATATTTCTTTCAATGCTTAAAGGTGTTCACTGAGAAAGTAAAAACATAAAATTATGCTACTGAAACTGTGGCATTATTTCTCCTCTGCAGTTTGATGGGTCATCTTCATACAGCGTGATTCATGCCACAGTTCTGGGGAAATTCGCACTCGAGCAACAGATTCCTCGATTTGAAATTTAGGATCATTAAGAAAACAGGCTTATGGTTGAGGAACTGTCTTTTAATACTTGACCACTTATAATGAGTTTTACTGCTCTCCTAAACCAAGGGTAAAATAAAGCATAGATCAAAGGATTTACAGCAGAGTTATAATAAGCGAACCAGCAAAGTATCTCATAGACATAAGAAGGTGTTATAAACCCCCCAAAAGAATCAATGAATGAATCAATCATGTACGGTAACCAGGAGATCAAAAATG